TGTAATCGAGTCTTGAATTTAAATTCTATTACATATTTCTGTGTAGTCGAGTGTCAAATTTAAATTCTACAAAGATAACGTCAGATTTAAGTTAACAGAAAAGTGTACATTTTTAATCTATTTGGCCGCCCTGAAACTCGTGGTTTACGAGGAATTTATATTTTTAGTTGATAACTGGGTTAGTTGTCAATTGACTTTGTTTGGACACTTTTGTCCAGAAGTAAAAATAGTTTCAAATTAATCGAATCTTCTCTTAAATACTAAAGAGCTGTTTACAATATGTATATATGTATGTGTATATATATATATATATACATACATATACATACATATATACATATTGTAAACAGCTCTTTAATATTTAAGAGAAGATTCGATTAATTTGAATCTATTTTTACTTCTGGACAAAAGTATCCAAACAAAGTCAATTGACAACTATATATATACATACATATAAATACATACATATAAATATATATATATACATACATATATACATATTTATACACATATTATCATACATATACACATATATATACATAATCTATCGATTATGTATCTATTTCCTTCGCGTAAATTCGTGAAAAATGGAAGGTTTTGTCGACGAATTCGGTAAAACTTTTCGTTTTTCATGAGCTTATGTGAAGGAAATAGATGCACAGACTAGTGCGGTGACCTCAAGACGTAGCTGCCATCGCAGTGTAAACAGCTCTTTAATATTTAAGAGAAGATTCGATTAATTTGAAACTATTTTTACTTTTGAACAAAAGTGTCCAAACAAAGTTAATTAACAACTAACCCAGTTATCAACTAAAAATATAAATTCCTCGTAAACCACGAGTTTCAGGGCGGCCAAACAGATTAAAAATTTACACTTTTCTGTTAACTTAAATCTGACGTTATCTTTGTAGAATTTAAATTTGACACTCGACTACACAGAAATATGTAATAGAATTTAAATTCAAGACTCGATTACATAGAAATGTGTAAAGCTGCGGAAATTAAGGCATTTTTGTTGAGGAGAGATCACCTCCGTACAAATCGATTTACTATTCTATACTTAAAAAAAAATGTATCAGGAATATCACCTCTACAAATTTTAATTAATGTACGTATATTCCTTACAAATGCGTATATACAGCAAAGGACTTTTATATTCACTTTAATCCGTACTATGCCTCCACAAGAATTTCGGAGATTGTTCTCAGACATACACTGAGTATAGATAATATTTGTATATATGTGTGTGTGTGTATGTAAAATAATAGTAACATATAATTATTATTAACGCATGAAAACTCCACATACTCAACATTTGCATGGTATCTCAAAAATAATCTATTCCGTTAGCAAAGAGAACAATTTCGCTGGAAAAGTTCGTGCGCGTTTCGACAAGAGCTTGCATAATATTTTGCGTCATGCCGGCTTATATTTAATTAACGAACTGCCGCAGGGCGTGCAAAACAATATTTCGTGTGGCAAGCTTCCCGAAAAACGTATTTTTTTCAAGTGTAACGTGCGAAAATAATTCGCGAACCTGTTCAAACAAAGCACACATCTGAACGTTCCGTTTTATCATCTCGCTTTTTCTGTTTTTTTCTTTTTTTTACAGCGCAATTTGTAGAACTAACTTATGTTTACGAATTAAGTTAGTTCTACAAATTCCTTTTTTTATTGCATGTTCTTATCGCAAATCGTTATGGAAATATTTGCCGTCTATCTGCGAGAGGACGGATAGAAAATTTCTTCTTTATCGAAATAATATGCGCATTTCTATAAATGAATATAAATGCGAGTAGTACAGTAAATGGAAATAATTGTAATAGATATTTTTCTCTCGAAAATGCGTGCGTATATACACACATACATCCACACGTATACGTGCGCGTTCGCCCATGTTATCTTTCTCGATTAAGAGAGAAAACAGTATAATGTAATAACGACGTTAATATTACTGTCACATAATTTTTCCCTTCATTTTATTCATATTCTGCTCACTATCACTATGACATAAACAAAATTTCTCGTCCACAGCGTACTTTATGCATAGACTTACTTCTTGGGAATTTTTCGCGCATTTCGGATGTACCGTGGGGAAAATGCGGAATCTCGATCACGTACTTGGTATGTGTATAAGTCTGTGCAAATACGCCGGAAATCGCGGCGAAAATTCGGCCATTCGCTCGTTTGTTCAGTGAATCGACTTTTTCGCGATTATTGTCTCGTCGCGACGCACCCGTCGAATTTTCCGACGGCATGGGGTGACTCGTTCCCCCCCCCCCCCCCCCCC